GTGCGCCATACGGTCACAAAGGATGTGCGAATTCCAATCAAGAGCACCATTGCATTGAGTGTGGGTGTCGTTGTGGGAGATTATTTGCATTGTAGATTCGGATGTGCATTCTACCCAAGAGAGTGTCAATAGCGTGCAATGATGCGCCCTAATATCAAAGCGTCAAACTGAGAACAATTATCAAAAGGTGAGACAAAATTAATATGGACCCTGATTCAGACTGGTATTGTTTGAACACGCGCTGTGGGGAATTCCCCCACTGTAGGTGTAAAACCCTGTCCTTTCCGCATTGTCTCACATCAGTTCTGTGTATTCCGCACATTCCGCGTTTCCCGCGCATTGTCCGATGGGTTCCGCATTCCTGCACATCCTTCGGAACCCGCCCGCACTATCCAATATTCCTGTGCATCGTCGAACAACCTTTGCATGTCCTGCCCCCATCCTTCCAGGTCCATTGGTACGCTGTATCCCTCTTCCTGCTGTTCCTAACGTTATCCGGATCAAACTGACACATGCCCTTATGGCACAGACCCCTATTCCGGAGTATTGCGCCCATGTGCACTGCCTGCCTTCACTTCCGCTTCCTGAGAATTTACTACCTGTACCTCAGTGTTCCTTGAAAATAATCTTCCCTTTAAGTAGTGGTACTCAGGGCTTGGGTGTTTTTTTATCGAATCCCATCTTTTACCTTCCCACTTTCCCTTCACCTTACTAGAGGACCGCTTTGACTTATGCCCACTATCAATCTAACCTTGTGATATACTTCCTTCGACTTCACCTGCGAGTTCCGACGAATCAGTACGTTCCGCGCTTTATCTGTTTGAGTTCCGTTTCATTCCTTTCCATTCCACTTGAGTTCCGCTCAGGTTCCGCTTGTTCTGCATGAGTTCCACTTGTTCCGCTTGTTCTGCTTGTTCCGCATTTTTGCGGATCCTCATCCTACCTGTGGTAGGGTTGAATAGGGCCGTTTAGACAGAGATTAGCACTCCCCAGTAGTAATCCCCTTTAGGGTCGAACGTGCTTGTTCTCAAGTGAGGCAGTAGGCAGCAAAGACCCAACTGTGTAGTAGATTGATTTCTCTCCGCTGCACTTGTTGTACCCACAGTGCGCTAGATCACATAGCTCGGAAACAGCTGTTAATACTGCTGTGTTAATATGTCAATGTGCTGTCCATAGGTATGAATAAACATTAACGCACATTGACAGCTGCAGCTTCAATCATCTGTGAGGTCCAGGTCTTATGCACCGAGTAATATACAATAGAGCATTTTGCAGATGCTGGAGTTGTCTGCAGGGGGACTTGAGGAGTTGATTCAGATGGGAGGTCCAGGTCCAGGTGTCTGAATCTGTCAATTCAGAATCGCCATTGAAAAATTTAGAAGGTAAGAATAGAAGGTTGTTACAGTTACAGTCAAAATCAATTTGTAGTGTTTAGATTTTAAGCGAGTTTCCTGCTCAATTTCCGCTACAGATTCTGAAGAATTCTGAATCTCTTATCATTGCACGATTCAGATGGCCTTATTAGATTATTAATAACATGATTCATTGACAGACACGACAACCAACTAATTATCAGGACTGCAATGAACTGGAGTTGTAATATTACTGCTAATTTTTCTGACGGGCAGACTTATGAGGGACTTGACTAGCTGCCTGGCCAGACTTCTTCTTCTTCCGTCCTCAAGTATGACCCTCATTGAAAGGCTCTGCATGATCCTCTGCATCTATAGTTCCAGTCACCCCTTCATTGAGCTCCACATCACCTGTGTCATCAAAAACAAGCAAGTTCTGATTGACCGCAGTAACTGCAGGAGCAAGTGGCATTACGAGAGGAGCACTGGAGCCACTGGAAGGTATTTCAGGAACTATGGACAACCTTGGAGTCGATAGCGGAGAATTCAGTGCAGACTGAGTGATTTCAATACCCTGAGCGGAGTCACCCGGGGTAGAATCCAAATCCTCGTCGGCATCGTTGGATTGCAAGCCAGCCATTGCAAGTGCAATCTGCCCAGTAAAGTCTTCCCCATCAGGTGCATCAACTGGTAGCTTTGCGGCTCCAAAGATATGTCCCTTGATGTGGCATCTGATCTTTGTGAGATACGGAGCATCCCAGCAACACACCAAAATCTTCTTGAAGCTGTAGAATAGATTTTTGTATTGAATCCCCAAGCTTTTGCTATGGCCGTCTTGAGAGAATACTGTATCTGGCAATAGAAGAAAGATGGCCTGCAATGAAGAATGCTCAGCGACGATGGGAGCAATAAAATGAACCACTTACAATTGTGGCGCTCCATGCAATTGCTCTGGGTGTTATGGTAGATACACCCCAAATCTTGTAGTTTCTAGGTGGCCCACCCTTCTTGACAGATGTAAGGGATGCTTCGCCCATCAAAACCGCTTTCAAGATCTGTTTCGGGGACATCGTCATTGTCAGTAAGCTGTATATGAACAAAGAAATGGCAACGTACCTGAGCCAAGGGCTTCCAGTTACCGAAGACAGTTGAATTACTAGCGTCAATGACTGCATTTGGAAAGAGAATGGGAGGAAATAGTGGGTAGGTATGGCTTCCGGGTATAGTAAGGTAGGGCTCAAGCGCATTCATCAGACCTCACATAATCAAGCGTTACAATAGCATTACAAATTGAAAAAATGAACATAACAATTCAACTACAATGCCTGTAATATATATTGAATCGCAGAAATGGTCAGAAGCACAATGCAAACTCACAAGCGATTTCCATTTTTCAGCAAGACAAGGGACAAAGTTGTTATGTTGATTTTTTTGAGGGCAAGACAGCCCAAATGCCGAAATGTATGTACACGGCGTGGCGGAGCTGTAAACAATATGCTCTGCGACTAACCATGGCTGGGATCAAGCGTAAATTCAAGACTTGGACAGAAAACCTACCATGGAAGAAGAGGAGAATCAATGCCAACATGGGCAGGATTGCTTTGAGTGACAAAGAAAATACTACTCAGGTAAGATTAAGACCTTATTTGGCATGGTATTAATGAGCTGAGAACTGACAGGTATGCACTAAGGCTTGCGGAAAGGATGTGGACGCGTCAAATGACTGTTCGGACGCATCAGCTGGTGCCAAGGGCATGAAATTCAACCCATGCACGCCCCGACATGCTAGACATGCTCTAAATCATTGGTTTGGAAATGTGGAAGAGGAATGGGGCACTCACAGTGTTTCGCCTTTCTTCGGCCTCAGTACTTCAAGCCCACCAATCCACAAGACTCTGCAAAGGCGAACCGTCACCTGCGAGGATGTCACGGGAGACAAGAATGACATGATTGCCATCAGAGGTCTTTGCTGGCGTGACACAGGGGGCCTGCAGCCTATGCACGGAATTCTTGAGCTGGTACCAGCTGAAGCTATTCTGCTTTCTGCAGTGAGTCATGAAAGCATGGTAGTAAAGAAAAGAAAACTCACAGTAAAACCAGACTGCTGCGGCATCTTCGAACCAGAAATTCCCAGCTGATGACACACCTTCTGCTTCTCTTGATGTTGATGGTGGAGATAATGAGATGGATAACGAGACAGATGATGAGTGTGATGGAAATAATGAAAGTGGGGGGTCACATTTTAGAACAGGCATGAGCTATGCAAGTCGCCTACCTCCTTCAGTGAATGAAGCACGAGAAGCACTGAAGGACCTTTGTCTTCTTTTGAAACCCCCTTGACATGCCAATAGAGGCTACAATCCATCACCATTTGAAGGGACGGTCAAAAAGCGCCTCGAGCTCATGGAGCTATTCCTGGACCGGTATACAAACATTGATGACAGCGGCAAGCCCAAAAATAGTGCTGCTGGGAATTGGACGAGGGCTGCCGAGGACACGGCACTATTTTTTATGAAAGGACCGTGGCTTGGTCGAAACCTTCATTCATGGGCTAGGGCTTATATCAACGACCGAGCAAACTTTCCGACTCACAAGTTTGGCTTGAATGTATCACGTATCGAGGATGAGGCACTTGCAGCAGACATCAAAACCCATCTGCAAAGCCTTGGCAAATACATACGTGCTGAAGACATTGCCAATTACCTCAAGGATCCAGAAGTCCAGAAGCGTCATGGCTTCTCAAAGTCAATTTCACCTGCTACAGCAAAATGCTGGATGAAGAAGCTTGGTTTCCACTGGAAGACAGAGGGAAAGGGCATGTACTTGGATGGGCATGAACGGGGAGATATAGTCGAGTATCGACAGAATATTTTCTTGCCGGTGTGGGCAAGCTTTCAATCTCACATGCGGGTGTGGAAGCATGGAGATGTGTTGGTTGAGGATGTCACCTCACAGTCACCTGGTCGGCGTGTCGTAGTCTGGTTTCACAATGAATCAACATTCTATGCCAATGATCGGCGAAAGTTGATCTGGGAGCACAAGTCGAAAGGGGCTGTCCCACAGCCAAAAGGGGAAGGCTCTTCATTGATGGTTGCCGACTTCGTGTCAGCTGATTACAGGTGGCTTTGATCAAAGGATGGAACAGAAACAATGCGTGTCTTATTCAGAGCAGGCAAAACAAGGGATGGATACTACACCAACAATGAAATCTTGTGGCACGTGAAGAGTGCAATGTCAATACTAGAAAAGGACTATGCTGAAGAGGATCATATTTTCATTTTCGACAATGCGACTACACATCTCAAACGTCCCGATGATGCTCTTTCCGCTTGAAACATGCCAAAAAATCCAAGCCAGAACTGGGGGGTCACTGTGACAGCAACGGACATGAGCAGAAAGCTGCTGCATGGCTCAGATGGCAAGCCTGTGAAAAAAAAGGTACCAATGGCTCCTGGACATCTTCGAGATGGGACTGTGCAGCCGCTTTATTTTCCCACTGGTCATCCAAAAGCTGGTTGGTTCAAAGGAATGGCAACAATCCTACATGAGCGAGGATTTGAAGAGGAAGCTCAACTGAGATCGGAATGTCCCAGCTTTAAGTGCCCATCTGATAAAGTGGGCAGGTGTTGCTGTCATCGTGTTTTGTATCAACAGCCTGATTTTTCTGGAGGTTTGTCAATGCTTGAATTGACTTGTCAAGCACGCGGCTTTCGTGTTTTATTTTTGCCAAAATACCATTGTGAACTTAATTTTATAGAGCAGTGCTGGGGTTGTGCAAAACGCGAATATCGCAAATGTCCTCCTTCCCAAAAAGAGGCTGATTTAGAGCGCAATGTGATCAAGGCCCTTGATTCAGTCACACTCGAGTCAATGTGCAAGTATGTTGTCTTCTCTAAAGCAGTTTTTGGCACTGATCATTAATGATTATAATCATAGATATTTCATTAGATCTCAGAGATTTATGGATGCTTATCAGAAGGGCTTGAATGGACAACAGGCTGCATGGGCTGCAAAGCTTTATCATGGTCATCATGTGCTCCCAGAGGCTATTATGCACGAGCTGGATAATGAGACTATTGTTTGAGATTACATTACTTCCACTACATATGTTACTTAAGTTCTGCTACATTTTTTATAGTGTAATCTTCAGTTCTATTCTATCACCAGATTTCGGCTTGACCGGCACCACTTATCATCCAAAATTATGTGTCTGTCACAGAATTGTCACATCACGTGAGGTCTGATGAATGCGCTTGAGCCCTACCTTACCTAGCAGCCTACAAAGCTCATCGACGGTGTCTCATTTTGAGGATGTGACAAAGTAATCAGAACTTAACCCAAAAATGCGACCACCAACTTGTCGCAACTTGATGAGTTCAGAAGACCGACCAGCTTCAAGTGCTTGTTGCAGCTGGACAAGGATTAGTACATAGAAGTCAATTAATAATGTACACACGTACAGTCTTATGGAAATGATTTGAGGATATGAGATGGTGCAGGTGATCCGGGAGCACACTACGTAGTTCAGACAATAATGCGTCCGCTTCTGCAGCCGAGTTTGCATAGCGAGCTGGCCGGTCAAATGATGAGCCAATCGAAGGCAGAGTCTTCTTTAGTAGCTCAGCGCTGGGTGGGTACATCTCATACATGACGCCATACTTCTTAGCAAACATTTTCACTTCCTCGTCAAATGCTACAAGCTGGGAGGGTGCCTTGGAGGTTTTGCGAGAGGGTTTGTTGGCCTCCAAAATGGCATTCTTTTCTTCCAAAAGTCGATTGCGCTGCTTGACAGCTTCTAACTGGAGCTGAGCCTCCTTCAAAGTCTATTTAAAGAGATCTGAATGAGTCACTCGAGTATGACAACTGTTTCAATATATCTAACTCACTGTACTAATATGAGATTCTTCATGAGCAGATGTGCGAATTTGACTTGTTGCACCTGCTGCAGGATGAGGATTGGAGATAGAAGGTTCAGGAGCATGACATCGCGAGCCTGCAGCCTCAGAGTCTGAATCATCGGACCTAATATGACTGTATGGTCCATTCTGAATCATCTTGAATAGCGGGACACAATGGAATTTCGACCGTAATGTCGATGCAGATCAAGCTGAGGGAAGACACAGATGAGTGGTTGATGGGGGATTGAAATAATGCTGGGGGTTAATATATTGTCATTCAAAGTGGGCTAACAAGTGATCAAAAAATGTGTCCTGATGATGCACAGCAAGGACTTACTCACTTGAGTACTCGTTTACGTGGGTCATGATGGGAATGTGATGGGGACAATGCATGAGGATCTGAATCAGACAAAGTGAGGCACTTGACTAATCGCCTTGCAGCTACCAGCACTTGACTTGACGTGGATTTAATTCCCCTATGTAATATAACATGAGATGTGTTACATCAACACTGCCAGATTCCATCACCTTTCTGAGTCTGCATTGACTTGCTGTTGCGATCCGATTTGTGGCTGTCAGCATGGAATAATCAGTGTAAGTCTAGGCAGATTCAGAGGAGTAATATCAATGATGGCAACTAGAAATTAAATCATCGGATCAGAATTTCCATTGCAAGGAACCTTGAGCGTTCCAAATCTGATTCAGAATCGATCAAAACACACCACTGAGGTGTGTATTATGCTCCAAGGTCGGTTGACGACACATCATGGAGAAGGTGTTCCCTATGATGCCAAGCACGAATGAGGATTCGGTTGAGGCTTCAAATAACATTCAAGTAATAGATCGTTGACATACCTAATAGGCCATAACCATGAATGGAGCGCTCGTGAACTTCTCCAGTGCACTGGGTCCTGGACCAGGGATATTAACAATAATAAGAAGCAGGTACGCTTCCCAGTCATAACTATGAATGGAGTGCTCACCTGATGATTGCCCATGAGCTTCTGAATTTCCATCACACCTTGCATATGAGGAAGCAGGAGGATCCATTGATTCCGAATCCAACAACAGAGTTGGGTCCAGGGTCCAGTTCATGTTGTGACTAACAGTCACTTCAGACAACTAATAGCAATAAATGTGAGATCATGCATATGAATTGGTGGGTATATGAGATAATAGAGTGACTATCGTGAAAGACTAAATTGTCGCTGCTGCCAGTACATCAACAACACATCTGAATTGCTGGCAGAAACATTGATTCTGACAGGACATTCACCAACATAGTATTATGCTCGCCCCTTGTTGAGATGATAATCATCCACAGCTGCTCACTTGCTTCGAAATGACTTGTAGTTTCCCCCTGTGGCACCACACGCAAACATAACAGCCGCTAATCTATAATTTGTCAAAATTAACAATACATCAGGAAACCATTTGAAGGAGATAATTTTAAATACCTTGAGGTAAATACACCAGTGCGCCAGCCACGTTGGACTGAGTAGAACTTCTCAACAACACCAGAGCCTGTGGTAGTAACCGAGGTGATTGTTTCTGAGGATGGTTGTCGTTGTAGTGCGGGCAGCCTTGCATTTTGGTGTGGTTGGTTTGCAAGATTGACAACTGGGGCACATTCACGATGCTGATTGATGGTTGGGACATGTTGACAGTGTCGATTTGTCACATTATTAGCAACATCAGAGGGTCCAGGGTTGATACATGGTTGGTTTGTTTGGGCATGTTGAAGCCTATGATCGGCATTGATATGGCAAGGTAAAGGGTCTGCACGCTGTTGCTGTTGGTTTGTTGTGCTACTGACAATGTGGCCATGCTGAAGCCTATTGTCAATGCGGGCAGGGGCGCGCTGTTATCAATGATGAAAAATAAGCTCTCAGGACTGATCGACATCAAGTATGACTACAATACCTGCTGCACACTTGCAGTCTGTTGACTAATGTTAGGTCTGACAAGCTTTTTGGAATCTGATTCGGATGAAGTGTCTACTTCAACACGAATGTTCCCAGAATATGGCTGGTCCTGGTAACTTGATGACAGGCGTCATTGATAGTAGAAACGCGGTACTGTCAGAGAGCGTATGGGGGATTCAGAAGTGCCGATTGAATTGATGGAATTGCGTGCAGAATTCAGAGTTGAGCCAGAACTAACATCATTAAGGACTTGTTGAATGACAGCAGCAGCTAATATGGCTGCCTGAACTGTTCGGTGGTTAATAGTAATAAAATTGACAGTGAATAAATTGAAATTCACCATTGACGTGAGGTTGGGACAATTCAGAAACCCCATGTTGCAACAACGTGTCTCTTGTTCTGAGGACCATGGTGGTTTAGGGAGATTAAGATGTCTTGAGAAAGCTGAATCTGATTCAGAACATGTTATTTAAATCGATTTTGAAGCAATTATGACAAATGTAATAATAATTCTCACATACCGCTAGACTCTGACTAGTACGACGTCATTACAAGTTGAATGCAGACTCAAGGTCAAGGCTTCTGGGTTTCAGTGTTAGATGAGCAATGGTCAATTGAGTACAGAAGGTAAATGTACTATGGTTTCACAGATATAACCAATAGCTTGCAAGGTGGCGATCTTCATACATGAGCAGTGAGGTTGTTTTTGCGGGAAAGACCAGCTGTAGTATGGATTTGAAAATTTTCGTCAGTAGCTCATATGCCAACATCAAATGTATGTAGTACATAATACACTGGCTGTGGGAGATCTAGAGGCAGATGCATGAGACCGGACTATTAAACACTACACTGGTGCAATCAGTATATATGAGAGTCTTTGTGAAGTTTCATGTGAAGGAACATATCAGTGTCGACGGAATCGACAACAAAGAAGTCACCAGGCTGAGAGCGATCCTCAAGCAACAGTGCCTCCCTGATAATCGATTCAGCGAAGACAAACTCACTCTTATGCCAAGGTTGAGCTCTAACTCACCATAACCCTAGGTGCCTGTCCTTCAAAGGTCGATTTGGAAGAGGGGCGTCGCAAGGATGAATGAGTGTTATGATCAGCGTTCACCGATTGGCAAAGGCTTAACACAACCACTAGGACTCGTCAAGGATAAGAGCAAAGATGATATTGAGAGTGAACGTCTGAGTCTACACTTGGTAGGAACGAAGAGGTTAAGTCTAAAGAGAAACTACGCTAACTATCCTACCTATATACATAACATTGAGTCGGAGATATCTGAGTTTGTAAATAATCAGC